ATGCCACTGCATTAAAAATTCAAAAGCCCAAAAATCTAATCTGGTCAAACAAGAAGGAAAAAACAGAAGAGAGGTAAGGAAATGAGAAGAACATATCTTCAAATGAGAAAATTTCCTTTTTCATTCAGATTTTCAAAAAGGGAGATTAAACTGACTTTATAACATTGAAAGTCTTCAAATGAAACTGGAATGTCTCAATAGACTCGGTCCAAATTTCTTGGAGATTTTACATTTGAATAATATTTAAATTAGCTTTTCATCTAGGAAAAATATTAAATCTTGAAAACTCTACCGAGTTAGGGCAATCACAGTGTGTCCAGGAATTCTGCTAATCAGCTGCTCAGAACATCAATGTCACCTTGCATTGCAGCACCAGCAGTGGCCCATGCCTGAAGGGTTTTCTCAATACTTGAAAAATAGCTGGAATGTTTGGGTAGTATTTCCATTTTAAAGAAAACAGGGTGGGGTTTTAGGGTTTTTTTGAAGCAAGATGATTTTTTTCCCAAATTTTTTTTACAAATCTAGACCTACCCTTTAATTTAAAATATTTTAATTGAAAATATCACTACGATGTAGTCTCAATCTAGAACTTGTATCCTTTTTCTATGCCTCAGAAACTTTAGTAATTGCTCTAGTTAAAAGAATATAATGAATATATTAATCTTAGCAAAGTGGTTTAGTTTTCTGGAGATTTTATTAAGTAACAATCAAAGCTACTAGAGACACAAAATCAATAAAATTAGATAATTTTAAATTTACATGTTTCTTTCTGAACGAGATTTTCACATAAAATATCAGAATTTTTATTTAAATGAATATCCAAGTTACTTCCTGTGGAGACTTCAGAATGCAGAAGATTTTTCAGATTTTTACATTCTGAGAAAATCCTTCTTTATTGAAAAGTCACTTATTTCCCACAGGACGTAAAAATGAGTCTAATTTTCCTTGAGCAAGGGTCTGTGGAAAGATGTTCTCCTCTGTGACCACTGGTGCTGCCCTGCCCCAGCATTGTAAAATTCTTTGTGTGGGGAGCTGTCAGGGTGTCTCCTCAGGGAAGTCAATAATTTGGGTTTTTTTTCCTAAGCCTTTATTTCCATATCCCATGGAAAGAAATAAGGAAATAACAAATTCTATCATTCTTTAAAATCCAGTGGCTTGGCTGCAGCGGGCATTACCTGAAGGCATTACCTTCTCACGCTTTAATTTAACAGCCATTCGATTTGATTTACATAATACTCAGTTAAAATGACAAGCAGAGCTCAGAGTCACTGCCTGCAGCCTCCAGCCGAGGCTGTCCC